ATGTATGGTATGTTTTGCCAGGTGTACGCTGGCGGTGGGCACTCTCACTCGTCGAGGTGGATGACCTCCCTCCTAAATTTGTCCTTTGCGTTCGCAGCGGATTTCTTTTCGTTTGCAGCGAAGTCTTCAAGACGGACGGGTAGCTATGCCGTGCGCATGGTATTTGTGGGATGGTGGTGTGCTTTCGATTCGTGAGTGCTTTTCGTCCATGTCAGTGCTTGCACTGTAGGGGTCACCCCAGAGATTGTAGGATTTGGTGGAAGCACTTGGCTGATTTCGCTGGGCGGCCAGGTTCTCGTATTCCGGGATCCGGGCCCCTGGTTCCCAGCATGTTGGAATTTGGCGAAAATGTGCCGTTGATTTCTGTTGACGGCCAGGTTTCCCGTTGTTGGTTCAGGGTCTTGGTGAAGGTTTTCCGCTGATTTCAGTGGGCGGTCAGCCGGGCTCCCGCGCTCCCTGGAGTAGAGCGTACAGAAGGTCGAGTTCAACAGGGAAGATCTCAGAGGAAGTTAGCATGTCATAGAGAGTAGAGTTAAGTGTGCATTTTGGAGGCAATCTAGCTTCAAATACGAAACTCGAATTAATCGAATAGTGCTCTGATTCAACTCTGCTAAAACTCCGGCCCGAAATTCGGTTTCATCTCTAATTCTTTACGCTTCGCGTATCCCCACCAGCCCATCTCACAGCAGCAACTCTTGCGAAGCATGCCGACAGTCGTGTTTTTCAGGCGTGTGTCCGCTTGGCCCCGCATATCTCCCCTGTTCGGGCTCTTCGTGGTGTGAGTCGTTCGGGCTCTTCGTCCTGGTGTGAGTCGTTCGGGCTTCTCGTGGTGTGAGTTGTTCGGGCCCCTCATCCTGGTGTGAGTCGTTCGGGCCCCTCCTCCTGGTGTGACTCGTTCGGGCTCCTCGTGGTGTGAGTCGTTCGGGGCCCGCGTCGTGGTGTGAGTCGTTCGGGCTCCTCGTGGTGTGAGTCGTTCGGGCGCCTCGTCCTGGTGTGAGTCGTTCGGGCCCCTCCTTGTGGTGTGAGTCGTTCGGGCTCTTCGTGGTGTGAGTCGTTCGGGCCCCTCGTCCTGGTGTGAGTCGTTCGGGCTCCTCGTGGGGCCTCTTGGGGGCCTCTTGGAGCCTCTTGGGGCCTCTTGGGGGCCTCTTGGGGGCCTCTTGGGGGCCTCTTGGGGGCCTCTTGGGGCCTCTTGCGGCCTCTTGGGGGCCTCTTGGGGACCTCTTGGGGCCTCTTGGGGGCCTCTTGGGGGCCTATTGGAGGCCTCCTGGGAGCCTCCTGGGGGCCTCTTGGGGCCATCTTGGGGCCTCGTGCGACCTCCTCAGAAGCGCAAATGAGGGCTGCCCCCTAAGAAGGGCAAAATGAGCCCAAAACCTTCGTAAAATCAATGATTTTGCTATGAAGGAAGAGGAGCGCGGCCCCCTCAGAAGGCCAACATGGGGCCAAAACCGTAGTAAAATCAATGTTTTTTGCTTCAAAGACGAGCTGAGGCACCAAACTCCCCCCCCCCCCTCGGGGCCAGAATCCTCGTGAGGGTCGTCGTTTTTTGGCCCTCCCAGCCGTCGAGACCCCCCTGACGACCCGCGGAACTCCCTCTCCAGGTCCAGGGGGAGGGGGTAGGGGGAGGGGTAAACCCCTCCCCGAAGGGGAAGAAAGGGGGGTTGAGGACAGAGCGGGCTCTCTAAACCACTCACGCCCAAAGGGCTGGTGGGATTTTTGTTGGAGCTCTGATTTAGCTCTTGTCCGAACTCTGATTTAACTCTGATTCGGCTCTGTCCCCAGCCGTTGAAAACAGAGGTGTATCAGAGCTAAATCGCAGTTGCGTCAGTTCGCTAAGATCAGAGCTGAATCGGAGTTTCAGCTAAACCAGAGATGAATCAGAGTTTCAGGCCGGAGCCAAAACAGAGTTGAATCAGAGCATCATCAGAGTTCTGGCAGTTCGGGGCGGACGGCGCGGATTCCAGAGGAAATCCACAGGAATCCTTCGGGAACCAATATGATTCCTCAGGAAATGCAGAATCGCGTCATGAAAAATTCACGACGGGAGGTGTTTGGCTATTTTCGGCTTCTCAGGGCCCCTGCCAGGCCACGGGGCCGTCAGCAAACGATTCAGGATGAAAAGCCGGTCCCGGGGAATGGGTCGAGACCTCTGGGGGGTCGATGCCACGATAACATAATGAAGTCGGGGTCTGGGTCTTGTTGGAGCGTTGGATCCGCGCGCGCGGCAAAAGGGGCAGTCACGCAGCGATGCGCCGTCCTCTTTCTATGGGGACGGCGCGGGGATGGGGGCGAAGAAGGATTTCGCTTTCAGGCGCGACCGAGGTAGGGTGGGGGGGCGGGGGCACGAGCATCGAATAGCGCGCACAGGAGCACCCCACCCCCCAACAATCCCGTTGAGGGGGGGCCGCTGTCTCTCCGAGGCTAGCCGCAACCCTCCTCTTCTCTTCCTCCGTGCCCCCCATTTCCTCCAGAGGGTCCTGGGGCTGGAAATTGCCCCCCATGCCCCCTCCCCCCAAAACATGTACCACCGCGCTTCTCTTTCCTCTCCTTTCTTCCTCCTCTCCTCTTCCTCCCCCCCCCACACCGGGCGCCATTTCTCGATTATCGGCCCTGCCCCCCGGCTCTCCGCCCTCGTTTTCGACCTCGCTCCCGCCATATTTCTTATTGTTTTTTTTATCGCTTCGCTCATTCTGCCGGCCCGTGTTGGTGCACGGCTGTCGAGTGCCCGTGTGATCGTTGTCAATGGGGTGTTGCTGGGCCGTTTTTTTGTTTATGGATGGCTGGCTTTGGGTGATTTCGCAGGCGGGAGCCATTCTTTGCCCGCCTGAACCTTCTGTTTCGGAAGGTGGCGGCTCGTGAATACGATCGCAGGGAACAAGACAACATTATGCGGTTTCTTTTTTGCATTCTTCGGGCCCCTTGTCGCTTGTTGGGGCCTCTTAGGAGCCTCTTGGGGCGTCCAGGAGGCCTCTTGGAGCGGAAGGCTCGGATTCTCGGTTCGTGGTCTCCATCTTGGGCCTCTCTTGGGGCCCTCTTGGGGTCCTTTTGGACCGTCTTGGGCGCCTCTTGGGCTGTCGTGGGGCTCTCTTGGACGATCGTGGGCCTCTCTTGGAGGCCTCTTGGGCCGTCTTGGGGTGGTCTTGGAAGCTTCTTGGGCCGTCTTGGAGCGTCGGAAAGGCGAAAAGGCGAGGAAGCCAAAAACCTTGAAAAACCCAATGGAAATCAAAGGTTTTGGCGCTCTGAGGCTTCGTGGACGTTCATTGGGATCTTGTTGGATGCCTCTCGAGGGCTTCTTGGAGACTCTCGGGAGTCGTTGTCGAGCCTCTTGGGGTCTCTTTCGGGCCCCTTGTCGCCTTTTGGGGCCTCGTGGGGGTCTCTTGGAGCCTTCAGGAGGCCTCTTGGAGCGGAAGGCTCGGATTCTCGGTTCGTGGTCTCCATCTTGGGCCTCTCTTGGGGCCCTCTTGGGGTCCTTTTGGACCGTCTTGGGCGCCTCTTGGGCTGTCGTGGGGCCCTCTTGGGCGGTCTTGGGCCTCTCTTGGAGGCCTCTTGGGCCGTCTTGGGGTGGTCTTGGAGGCTTCTTGGGCCGTCTTGGAGCGTCGGAAACGAGAAAAGGCGAGGAAGCCAAAAACCTTGAAAAACCCAATGGGGATCAATGATTTTGGCCTCTTGGGGCTCTCTTGGAAAGGGTCGGGGCTCTCTTGGGACGTCTTGGAAGCTTCTTGGGCCGTCTTGAGGCCGTGTTGGGCGTCTTGGGCCGAGCGTTCGGTGATTCGGAACCCTCTTGGACCGTCTTGGAAGCCTGTTGGGGCCCTCTTGGCGCGCTCCGGGGAGCGTGGAAAGCCGCACCCAGGAGGAAAACCACCTCTGACCTGAGTTTGCAGGGATTGTCCCGGGACCTTGCCGGGGTATTTTCCGGCCTGGGACCCCCAGGGGCCGCTCCGCGCGCGCGAAGTACAGAGTTATTGTTAACCAGTTACCGGGGATCTTAGCACGCCTCTGGCCCGTTGGGCCGGCGAATTATTATTCCTGCCCTCGTTCCCGCCCTCGCCTCTGCGCTCGCTTCCGCTTTCGTTTCCGCCCTCGCTCTCCCTTCCCCCGCCCTCGCCCCCGCCCGGGGCGCGATTGTTTGCCGCGGCGCGCTAGGGCCTGGGCGCGAAAGGAGGAGGAGGAGGAAGAGGAGGAGGAGGAGGAGGTGGAGGAGGAGTGGGGAGGTGATGAGGTGCAGATGGGGTGGTCGAACGGAGCGCCGAAGCGAGTGGGGAGTCGGGCGCGGTTCGCTCCCCACGGGCTTCCTGTGTCGGTGATCGCGCAGTGTGCGCCCCCACGGGCCAGCGACCCCACGCGTCCGTTCGCTACTCTTCTCCACCTCCCCCGCAGCGCTTTTGTCACCCTCTCCTCCAACTTCTGGACCTTCTTCTTAGTTTTTAACACTCATCTGCCCTGTGTCCTTACGTAAAGTATTACTCATCGTCTTCCTGTTTCGCGCCTCAAGAAGGAGGGGGCAGGAGAAAATGGAGGACAGGAGAGGGGGAGAGGGTGAACACCGATCAAGGATCGGAGTCGGAAAAAAGGGAGGAGGGAATACCAATAGCAGAGGAGGGAGAGGAATAATAAGGTAGTGCTAGACGCGGACACAGACGGACGAGTGGTGAGTGGCGAATGAAAGGGGTTGGAAACGGGAGCGATGAGGGAGGAATGGAGCGGATCCGCACTGATGTCTGCCATGTTCGCGACTTGAAGGATGAGACCACCAAGAGTCCTTGCAAACACATCCCTCCTGTAGGGGCAACCTGCTTTAGGCGGTAAGTTGAAGGATGCTTCATTCTTAAAGATGGTTTAGGTACCCTGAAAGCCTATAGCGTACTCGGCAGTCCTCCTCCTCCTCCTCCTCCTCCTCCTCCTCCTCCTCTCCTCCATACCCTCTCGAGCCTCTCCACTAGATGGACCCTCCCGCGCGTGTCGCGAACATTCCCTCCTGTCTTATCCTTCCATTGTTTCCCGACCCTCTCTCTGTCCCTCGCCCTTCCCTGGCTCCGTCAGTGCCTCTGTCTCCGCTTCACTCTTTGCACCCCTTTCTGCTTAGCCCCCCCCGCCACCTCGCTTTTTGCTCTGCCGCTCACGCGGCCATTCCCTGACGGTCGCGGACTCGACCAGCCGTCGCCAGCGCAGCCGCGAACCCCACCCCCCGTGCTACAGCGAGGGAAGCGCTGGGCGGGACACCGCTTGGAGCCGTTCAGGGCAGTCAGGCGGCGTGGCGCCGCCTGCAGCCATGCGGCTGGACGGCGCGCCCATCGCCGTGGACTCTTTCTCGCACCTGGAGGCGGGGGTGCTCTTCTTCTGCAGCCACGCGCACGAGGACCACCTGAGGGGCCTGCACAGCGGCTGGGACCGCGGGCCGGTGTACTGCTCGCCGCTCACGGCGGGGCTACTGGAGCTGCGCTGGCCTGCGCTGGGGCCCCTCCTGCGGCCTCTCGCCCTCGGGGTGGTGCACCGACTCGCAGCCGAAAGTGGGGAAGGCCGCCGTGACGTGGAGGTCATGCTGGTGGACGCGAACCACGTGCCAGGGGCAGTCATGTTCGTGTTCGCTGGAGGCTTTGGGACGCTGCTCTACACCGGAGATTTCCGCCTGCACCCAGACCACGCGGGCCTTCGCGACCTGCCGATGCTGCAGAGCGGTCTGTCCCGCATCTTTCTGGACAACACCTTCTGCCATCCTGTTTTCGACCACCCTGCTCGAGAGGCCGTGGTCTCCAAGCTGCTCCAGGTTGTGGCGCCCAGGTGGCCCTGCATACTCTTTGTGGCCGTCTACTCGCTCGGCCGGGAGCCGCTGCTTCGCGACTTGGCACAACGGCTTGGCACCCGCGTCCTCGCACCGTGGCAGCGCATAGGTTCTCTCACGGCGGCTGGAATTCTGACGGGCGAATTCTCCGAGGAACCAGCAGGGCCACTGAGCACGTCCATCAATGAGTTGCGGCGCCTGGGGCAGAGGGGGTGCGTTTGGGTCGTGAAGAAGAACCAGTTGCGAGCCGCCGTGGAGCACGCCTCCTCGAGCGGCGTTCCTGCATTTGGCGTGCAGCCGAGCGGCTGGTCGGCAGTGAACAGCAACGCCGCCCGAGACGGTCCAATATTTGCAGACGAGGCCGCGGACCATGACGCAGCATGTGAAGATGGCGTGTGGGAGTTGCCTTACTCCGACCACTGCTCTTTTGCGGAATTGGTGCAGTTCTTGTCGTTCCTGCCCCTTGCGCCAGTGACGTTCATCACGCCGCTGCCGACCAAGACCTCGGGCAAGTACAGTTACGACGGCGTCGAGGGAGTAAACGTGCTGCTTCAGCAGACAGGAGAGCGTTTTTTTCCTGGGCGATACCCTGCGTCACTGGGAGGGGGGGGGTAACGTCACGTCTCGCGCCGGCGCCGCCTGGGAATCTTTAGGGATGACCAGAGACGGCTCGGAGGTCAGCTCGAATCGTGACGTTATCTGGGAAGGGGGGGGGGGGCCAGGGCCGGTAACAGCCGCTACCTCGAAACAAAAAATAACAACGCTCTTTTCAGGGGTGCCCGCCATCGCCTACGCGCAGCGCGCCAGGCCAGGGACCCGTGGTCCGCGAGGTGGTCGTGGGGAGGGGCCGCTGCGGCTCGCGCCCTGGCGCAAGCGGCTGGTGGCCCGGGCGCGCCGCGTGCTGCCCTGCCCAGGACCTGTGGAGGAGGGGCACGCCTGGGAGGCCGTACAGAGGACATGAGATCAAACTTGGTCACGGCGGGCGTGTTCGCCCGGTCTCGGGCTCTGGGGCCTTCACGGGTCGATCCGGTTCGAAGCATGACGCGAGAAGAAAGGGCCTGTGGGTCCGGTTGTGATTTTTTCTGCGACGCTGTACTTTTTCCGGGGTCCAGGTCAGGTGAGCAGTCTGGCCACCTGGATTCCGCACTTCCGACTTCGGGTGCCCGGGGGCCAGGAAGACCCGGATATTGGCGCCAGCTGCCAGAGGTTGGCGAGAGTTTCGTGTCTGCAGCCGTGGCGTCCAGTTCTGCCCTCGCGGGCGCAGACGCAGCCCAGAGACCGAATCTAGGACATGGTCATGGGACCGATTCATGGCCGGGGCAACAGGAGGAGGGGACAGGCCTTCTCTTTCTGCCTCTATATCTACACATGTCTTTGATGGCGTTAGGTGCACTCCTCCTTCTCCTTATCATTCCTTCTTATGTCCTTCGCCGCTGATACTTAGACGCACTACTTAGGCCCAGTCATACTCCGACCAGCTCATGCGCAGTCGCTCGTACTCAGACCCAGCCGTGTTCTGTCAAAGATCTAGTCATACACAGAGTCCACAGTGAGCCAGACTTACTCGTTCTCGACCATCGCGCGCTGTCATGCTTAGCATGTGGGCCATCCGGGTTTCACGGGCCCGTTCGCGCCCAGACTGGCGGGGACTTCGGGCAGAACGCCCATTTTGTGACGTCGACGCAGATTTGTGTGAGCCCAGTATCCTCACGTGCACGGCGAGGCATCGGGCATCGCATGCAGGCCACACCGAGGCCGCCCCGAGGGCCCGCGTCCGCCCGCGCTTTTTCTGGTGGGGCGTATCAGACAGGCCTTTTGCATTCGGACGTAGTCACGCACCTCTCCGCGGCCTCGTGACCACCTCGAGGTAGTAGACACCGCACTCGGGACGCTCAGGGAGGTATCGACCTGGGGCGTCACACAGGCTCGTTCGCGCACATGTTGGTGGGACCTTTCGGGTACAATGCATGTTTTGTGATGTAGGCACGCTTATCTCTAAAGCCTCATTTTCACCCCTGAGCACGCAGGTAGTGCGTGCGTGCTTCCAAAAGGGGGTATACAGGTCCCGATTGCGTCCAGGCCTGTTGACCTTCGCGTAGAACACCATTTCTATGCACAGTTTCGTGGCCGCCGCGTGCTAGCATCTATCACATGCGGGTCTCCCGAGCAGAGGCGGTCACGAGCTCGTTTGCGCCAGCGTTTCTTCTCAATCATCTTGTGGTGTTGGGCATTCGTGTCCAGAGGCAGCGCCCCGCGTCACCTACTTCCCCGTTCCTCCTCCGTCCTCCCATCCTTGCTTCTGCCCTCCGCATGTCCGTTTTGGCACACCACTCACGCCTCGTGGCCACATACGGAACTCTAACTAAGACCCCCTGGGGAGTGGACCACATGCGGTCCCCCAACCATGTTTTGCACACCCCTCACACGCGTCGTGGCCTCTTAGGGAGCTCCAACTAAGGCCCCAGAGGGTGGTTGGGCACCACATGCGGTCTCAAGACTCAGCGGCACAGCTCGCATGCATCCCCAGGCGCACTTCGGCACACCCCTCACACGCTTCGTGGCCCCAGAGGGAGCTCCACCGAAGTCCCCAGTGACAGGGCCCGCACGCGCCCCCAGGCCCATTTCGGCACACCCCTCACACGTTTCGGGGCCCCACAGGGAGCTCCACTGAAGGCGATATTCACAAACGCGGCATTCACAGCTGTATATGATCCTTTGCTGGATAATTGCACGTAGTCGCGTCTCTCTCCGCAGCCGCTTTGCTGCTTCGTGCTAGCAGGTCTCGCGTGCGGGTCTCCCGAACGGATGCGGCCAGGGGGTGTATCACAGGCTCGGTCGCGTCCAGACTGGCGGGGGAACTTCAGTTTCTGTGTGTGTCGTTGTAGACAATGACATTTTTTTCCGTAGCTTCTGGCTCAAGCCGCGAGGGGCACCCCCCCACCTCGAGGAGGCGTCCGACGCACCGCCTGGGCCGCGCGCCGGCCCCCCCGCGCGCGCCCCGGCGGCGCCCCTCGCTTCGCGCCGCCCGCGGCTGCCGTCGGCGCGGCTCACCGCCCGCGGACCTCTGTTGCTTCCCCCCAGCAGCACACGAGGGTAGCGATTGGGAGCTGGGAGGACAGCAATTACCTGAGCCTGAGGACGCGACCGCGCACAGGAGCGAGACGGGGCAGTAGGATGGGCAGGGAGTCCTGAGGTACGATTGTTTTGGGCCCGGGTGGGCTTACACCCACCTCCGCCGCGGAGTCGAGAGAACTACAGAGCGTGCAAGCCAGCAGCGGGGCTGCCGCAGGCACTGTACGTCCCCTCCTGATTGACCGCACTTCAACGACTGGCACCCTAAACTCCAACCTCCCGCCCCTGCCGCCAGGACCAGGCAGCCAAGGGGATAGGGAGGGCACGGCGACAGACCCGCACCTGCGGACGAGTGCTCACCTGGCGAGCGGCCCTCCCTCCGCCTCCAATCCCTCCTCCCCCGCCCGCTTACAATCCGGATATGCGACTCTGTGTCGCCCTGAACCCACGAGTGACCTGATATCGAGAGACCCTATTCGCTCCGACCCCTCCGCTCCGCTCCCCCATCCGACCACACACGTGCCAGCGACGTTGAGCCACCCTGTCTCCCTACCAGACGAGCAGACCTCACCTGTTCCCTGGTTCCTTTCCCTGATCACTCCGGCAATGCGACTCTGCGTCGCCCTGAACCCACGGAAGGCTCTGCTTGTCCCCATCCCATCCCCACCTCCCCCCCAATACGACAGCGGCATGACCCCCCCCCCGAAATTGGCGGAAGGGGCACCGAGGAGGTCCTCACGTGCACAGACCACCCTACTCTTCCCGTTCAACGAGGCCCCACCTGTGGACCCCCCCCCCCCCAACCCTAACCATGCGCCCTCCCCCCCCGTAGACGGAATCCACATTCCCGTGGACAGGGTGGATAGCGAGGCGCGGGGCTCCGATCTCCAAGCGGAGCTCGTTGCGCGGCTCAACCACCGAAAGGCAGGGCTCAGCGCCGGCGGCTCGGGGAAACGTGCCCAGGGATGCCGTGGGCAACAATGTGCCGACGGCATCGCACGCCGACGACGCAGCGCACGTTATGAAGGGGGGCTCGGCCCGGCCGACGCCCCAGCGCGTCGGGCGCAGCGCGGATCGACGAGCGATTCTGACCCCCCCATCGAGACAGAGCCAGTTGCGCAAGTCGCCATGTGGACCTGCAGCACATGTAGGCCCCAGCATCCCGCGACGCAGCTTGCGCGTTCAAGCCCCCGCCCATTCCCGGATCTGCCCGAAGTACCGGGCAGACCCTGCCCAGGGACGCGCCCCGACCCTGGCGCGCACTGGAGAATGAGGGGCAGCAGCGTGCTATGGCCATGCCAGAGGCGCCTTGCCCTCGCACCCGTCACCGAAGAGCACTGCGCCCTCTGCGACCAGGGACGGCCGAGGGACTCCGATCAATGGAGCCCCCTGGAGGACGAGGCCGACCTGCCATGGGCCCCCAGAACCCCCAACCGAAGCGCAGCCCTCACTGACATGATGAAACGGTTCGCGGAGGAGTACCGCCGCGACCCGCCGCAGCATCAGGCTAACCAATCTGGCGGCGCCCCCGCCAGAACGGAGGCAGGCGCGCCTGCGAGCGCACTTGGCGCAGCCGTCGCCACCAGGCTTCTCTGGTCCCCGAGCGGCCACGACCGCGTGATCCGACGAGGCGGAATCGAGCCGCACCCTCGCGAACTCCTTGCCATGCGATTCGCGCGCCTACACCAGAGCTTTCAGATCAGATCGCGTGCCCCGATCCATTCGGCCGACCACCCGCCGCGCGAGCGGAGCAGCGCATCGCCGACGCCCATGCGCAGACCTTGGAAGAGGCAGCAATGCAACTCAACATGGGACTACAGCCGCGGCGCGCAGGGCAGGAACTCGACCTATTCCCTCTCGCAGGAGTGGAAGCAGGGCCCCCCGACCGTGCGCTAGTCAGAAGGGCACTCGCATGGGAATGTAGGAGTGGCAGTATGTCCTTCCCCCCGCGCGCGACACGTTGACATGGGCGCGACTCGCAGCCGCGGGCGCCTTCCCACATCGAGCCGTAGATGCCATCGGCGCGTCGCCCGCAGGGTTCGCCAGAGCATGTCCGGAGGTCATAGGACAGCACTTGCGGGGCTCGGGCCCCCCCCCCCCCCCCCTGCTCCACGAGACTTATGGGGGCGGAGGCATGGCGACAAGGCCAGTCACTGCGCCGCGGCCCAGAAGAGGAACCCCCTTCGTGCCGCCCCGCGGCTTTCACCCGCACATGCAAGCACAGTGCGGTGCCTGCGGCTCCTGGAAGTTCCGAGGAGGCCCCATGACAGGGATGTGCCCCGTCTGCCGGAGGTTCAGCCGGGCGACCATGCAAGAGACTACGACCAAACCACCCCAGTCCAGGTCATCCCAAGCGATTGGATACAACGGCTCCCCTTCGACTGTCTGGGCGACGCCGCCCTCTCAGCCCTGGCGCACGCAGCGCAAGCATGCGCGCCGCTGTGCTCACCTGGGGAGGGGCACCTGATCAGCTACACCCCCTCCTGGTTGGTGGGGGAGCTGCTCCTAGCCTGGAAGTGGATGGTCGACTCGGAAGACTCTACATGGGCGATCCCCATGCCGGGCGATCACCAGCGCGGTGCCGCGGCGGCGCTCTCCGCGCTATGCGGATCGAACCTTCGGCATGCCACGGATTTAGCGCACGTCATCCGAGCCCAAGCCCTGGGGAACCGTGAGGTAGCAGAGTGGCTGCCTCGAGCCATCACCACCACGCAGGAGACCATTCCACCCGCCATTGGCACGGACAACTACCATGCGCGAGGCGGCAGCCATAGCGACTTAGGGGGCATGAACAGACTCTCGAGCAGCACGGGCTCTCCAGAAGGGGCGTGGACTGGATCGCCCA